CTTAGAGTTTGCTGGAGGGCGTTCCATGAATTTGGGGCATCAAAAGAGAATGCAGATTTACAAGATTCAGTACACATTTGCATGTAAAGTCATAAATAAACAAATTCATTGACCACGTATATATTGGTTTCAAATTGTGATACAAAAGGGGTGTGTGAGAAAAAAAAGAGATATACATATAAATATACATACATACTTACATACTCATACACTTGTGCACATACTGATACCTAAACATATCCATAATAACCTCGTTAAACACCAACATCCAACTGTACAATTACTTTCTGAACTTTCTCCATAGATACTAATTACAAGTAGTCTTTAAGACAGCTGTCCATGTCAAAACAATTCGGCTTTCTTACCTTCCAATTCATAAGAATTATTTGTTTGACAGATAGAAAGGCTAATCCAATCAAGTGCTGGAATTATTTTGAGGTTACCCCATCTTTCTTATTTCCCAGTATACCCACTGTTGGACTTAATGTGAACGTTCATATTAAGTATTTTGCACAGAAAAGTGTGTAAAAATGTGTCTTCAGTCTGGATTAAAAAACAGAGACAGTGTCATCAGATCGTACATCAACAGGAAGACTGTTCCAAAGCTGAGGAGTCACTGCAGAAAATGTTTGATAAACCTTTGACCTTAGCCTGGACTGTGGAACTACTAGGAGGCCTGACCCTGCAGATCTCAGAGGCCATTTGGTTGTTAAGGAGTGAGGAGATAAGGAGCGAGGAGCTGGTGCTGTTAGAATTAACTGCTGCCTTCGATACAGTTGATCACCTGATTCTTTTATCTCGCCTCAAACTGTGTGTTGGCATTAAAAGCGATGTCCTAAATTGGTTTAAATCATACCTCACAGAGTGGACCTTTTCTGTTCATTTAGGCCTCTTACTCCTCAGCTGCGGCCCCACTAGCCTGTGGGGTCCCTCAAGGCTCCATTTTAGGCCCCATTCTAACACAGATGCTCTTTGAAGTTCCAAGGTGCAGGTTAAAAACCTGAGGTGACAGAGCTTATGCTGTGGCTGCTCCCAATCTGTGGCACAGTCTACCTGTTAATATAAGAACTGCTCAGTCCATTGACAACTTCAAATCTTTGCTTAAAACTCACCTCTCTGCTCTGGCTTTTAATACAATTTGAGCTTGACATTTTGAAATTGTATTTATGCTCCTATTTATTGTGTTTTTATTGTGCTTCATTCTATATGTTATTTTACTTGTTGTTTTTACATTGTGTTTTTTATGCTTGTACAGCACTTTGGTCAATCAAGGTTGTTTTAAATGTGCTATAGAAATAAAGATTGATTGATTGATTGATTGATTGAGGAGTTTATTTATGTAGTCTGGTGCATGGCCATGTAAAGCCTTGTAAGTTAGAAGTAAAAATGTAAAATGGATCCTAAAAGAAACGGGTAACCAATTCAAAGAGGCTGAAAGTGGAGTGATGTGAGCAAAGCGTTTTGTCTTTGTCAGAAGTCGGGCTGCACTGAGGCAGGTGAACAGGGCGTTGCAAAAGTCAAGGCGAGATGAAGTGATGGCATGAATGATTTGTATCACTTCGTATCACATCCAATCTGTTGACTCTTGTTGTCATCTGTCCTGTGTGCAATGGTTATAAATGTTCAGAGAGACATCCTTATACTTCTTTAGAATAGGATAGGATAATACTTTATTGATCCCCAGAGGGGAAATTTGGGCGTTGCAGCAGCACCAGAAAGGTATTTACATAAAAAGCTTCAATATATTTTCTATGTATTCACATACACTGTTAATATACTTGTCACAGTAAAGAGGTACAGCTCGATCAGCAGCCAATTTACTCACAACTCATATTTTATACTTATAAGATCAAAATCCATTTCTACTCAAGTATATGAACTGTTTCCAAATTAAAGTGCTGAATTAAATGGGTCCAATCCCTGAGCATGTTCTTCATTCAAATATAAATTCACCTTTAATAGTTTTACAGGGTCTCACCTGGTTTAGCCTCAAGACCCCCCCTCTCTGACTTCTTCATGAAAAATCACAACTTTATAGTTTCTGAATTTTTTTCTACAAAAAAATACATGGAAAGTTTGTGCTGTTTGGAACTCAGACGGTATGAAAAAAAAAACAAAAAAAAACATGACAGAACAAAACAAGCATGTTTAAAAAGCACTTCACAGAATATTTCACACTTTTATTCATGCAAGTTGAAAAGGCCAGATGATCCACTTTTGGGTCCAAAAAAAATATTAAAATCAAAATCTAAAATATCTGTTAAAAATAGTTTAATATTTCACATAATAAAAGTTGAATGAGTTTCATATTAACCTTAAAAAATAATCATGACTCACAGTCTATCTGTAGAATCCGTATTGATATTTTTACCTCAAATATATCACAGAGGAGGAGAAATAACTCTGAGTCCACCATGATCAACGAGGAGATCAGCTGAGGAGAATTAGAGATTAATTCAATGTTAATTAAAATTAATGTGATGTTATTACTCAGTTGACAGTGATGATTGTTAAACCTATAGAGAGAAAACTGTTCTCCACACAAACTCAAACTGATGTGATGTATTCAGTCTCTCTCAGCACAGGAATGATTCATTATGTTGTTAGATTATTACATCGTACTATTGTAAAACTTTAACTTTGTGTCCACTTGATGAATTCTATCAATTGGTTAAATCGCACTAATTTGAAACTTATTATAAAATGTATAATTTTGTCTGACCTGGAGCTCAAACCCACAACATCATCTGTGAGTCTGTGTGACCTCCTGAGTCTCCGACAGCCTCCGTGTGTTTACCTCCACTGAAAACTCTCCGATTAAAACTAAACACATCAAAGTACAACGTTAATGTTTGTTTTGTTCGATCAACGGATGCCTCTGTGTATACTATCACAATTTTAAATGCTCACATGTCTCATTAAGACACTTTAGGAGCCGAAATGTGTCGGAAAATCCCCGCGTGTTGTCCAAACAGAGCGGGTATCATAGAGGTTTGAAGCCTGCTGTAATGAAATTAAAGAGACCTCGTCCACAAACATGAGCTGAATCTGAAGAGAAGAAGGTTTTTTAACTGATGCGGGACGTTTTTTCCGTTTAAACAGATTCTCTGTGTGAGTTTTATCCCCATAAAGTTGAAGATAAAACACAAAGTGTCGCCACATTTCAGACAGGAGGAAGAGCGTCTGTGTGGGTTGACTCTTCACGGTTCTCATGTTCCCTATAAGTCCCGCCTCCTGTCGGTCTTCTCCACACGTCCAGTGAGAGATCAACATGGCAGAAGAAGCTCCAGCAGTAGCAGCCCCGGTGGTGAAAACCCCGAAGAAGAAAGCGGCTCCCAAGCCCAAGTCTGATGGACCCCCCCTCCCGACGCTCATCATCAGCGCTGTGTCTGAGTCCAAAGAGCGCAAAGGTGTGTCCTTATCGGCCGTCAAGAAGGCACTGGCCGCTAAAGGTGTGGATGTGGTCAAGGCTAACAAACGCATCAACGCCGCCGTGGTAAGCTGGTAACAAACGGAACTTTGGCCCAGACTAAAGGCAGTGGTGCCTCCGGATCTTTCAAGCTCGCAAAGAAAGAGCCCAAAGCCGCCAAACCAGCAGCGAAGAAGGTCGCAAAGAAAGCTCCAGCCAAGGCAAAGAAGCCCGCAGCAAAGAAAGCTACACCCAAGAAGACTCCAGTCAAGAAAGTAGCAGTCAAGAAGTCCCCGAAGAAGGTAGCAGCTAAGAAAACCCCGGTCAAGAAGGCAACCAAAAAGCCTGCTGCAAAGAGTCCCAAGAAGGCTGCTCCCAAGAAAGTGGTCAAGAAGACTCCAGTGAAAAAACTCCAACAAAGAAAACAGCAGCAAAGAAGACTGCAGCCAAGAAGGCCAAGAAGTAAATCTTCACACCAGCATTCAATGCATCAAAGGCTCTTTTAAGAGCCCCCACAACTTCACTAAAGAGTCTGTCCTCAATTACTATTTATAATCATATTGTTTATCTATGTTATCTATTATCATGTTTATAATCACCTCTGAATGTTGAATGTGGTCACATCCATGTTTGCAACTAAAATGAATAGGAAGTCCAAGGTAGTGAATCAGATTATAAACTAATCCTTATTTCACGCTAGGCTACATCTTTACAACCAGAAAGGAAACCAGAATCTAGACCAGCAAAGAAAAATAATAATTAAGGACACAGACAGATTTACTTCCAAATAAGCTGTTAAAACACATAAATAAATACATGAGTTTATTGTTGTGCTCTAACTGACCTACTGTTACATAGTGATGCAACCAGTTACATTAAAATGTAATTCCTATATGAAATATAGAGAGCATATATACATTAAACCTCATCAGTGTAGCTCTCCTTCTTTCTCTCTATGTCATGAAGAATGCAGCTTTCCACTTTGACTTTATCTTTTGTATTTGTCAACAGTTATCTGATATTTTATTTTTTCAATAATTCTTATTTTAAATCTTACCACCCATGTTCATTCTTCTCCACTTTATTATATCAAATTACATTACTTAAGTGGTAAATCTAATCAACAGGACTGTAGCAAATCAGAATATAATCCTTGTTTCAGGCTAAGATATTTCTTAACCAGAAAGGAAACCAGAATTTAGAACAATAATTGGAAAGGACACAGAATGAATAAGACCTTAAACCTTTCCAAACAACTCAGATTCTAAAGGGTTGACATATTTCATAACTATATATAATAATATATAATATTTTATAACATAATGAATAGACAAACCTGATATTAGAGTTTAAGAAATGTATGCATCCAAAAAACATGTAGCGAAAACAACTTTTAACAAATACTGAGCATTTATTTTCAGACCTTATGGCCTCATGTCTCCCTTTTTCTCACTATAACAAAGAAATCCAACCTCTTTGTTAAAGGCTACTTTTTTATTTTGCTGACCGAAAGGTAGACTGAACCACAGCGACTTGATAATGATGACAATTAATTTATCTGGATTGTATATACAGGACAAGATGTGATAATTTTCAAAGACAACACATCTCATGTAGAACTAGAGAAAATAATGGTACAGTTAAATTATAATGTGGTTCTCTATTAAGAGCCACCACAACTTCTATTAAGGAGTCTGCCACTGAACAAATCAGGACTTGATATTCACATTTAAGACATGCATCCAAGACAATGTGTAAGATGAAGGCCTAATTCAATGCAATATGAGAAATACTTGTGTGTAACTGTAACCATCATGTCTAATACACAGTAGCCTACATTCATTCATGTTTATGACTGTTTCTGAAGGTATGAAGCAGAAGTATTAAACCAAATGAATTATTCTTAGATGTGGTGATGGAGCATTTATCAAAATTATAGGTTGTTTTAATAACGTGCTTAAATTATCGACAGTATAAAATTGACTTCACATATAATAAGAATTTGCTGTTTAGTTGTGATGTGGTGGCTCTTAAAAGAGCCTTTGTGTTTGTTGAGGTCAGTATTGGGTCTCTACTTCTTGGCAGCCTTCTCGGTCTTCTTGGGCAGGAGAACAGCCTGGATGTTGGGCAGCACTCCTCCCTGAGCGATGGTGACTCCTCCGAGCAGCTTGTTGAGCTCCTCGTCGTTGCGGACAGCCAGCTGCAGGTGACGGGGGATGATACGGGTCTTCTTGTTGTCACGGGCAGCGTTACCGGCCAACTCCAGGATCTCAGCGGTCAGGTACTCGAGCACAGCCGCCAGGTAGACGGGGGCTCCGGCACCAACACGCTGGGCATAGTTTCCTTTACGCAGCAGCCTGTGGACACGACCGACTGGGAACTGGAGCCCGGCACGGGAGGAGCGGGTCTTTGCCTTTGCTCTGGCTTTTCCGCCGGTTTTGCCTCTTCCTGACATGGTGTAGGTTAATCTCTAGAGTCGAGACTGAGAGAAATGTGCTCTAGGCGGACATGCCCTCTATTATATGTCCGCGGAGCGCGCGCGTTTTCCTGCCCCTCCAACCAGTAAAGAGGCTTCGAGCAGCGCAGAGGAGGGCGGCCCCACTCGCAGCTTCACTCCGCGATTTGAAAAACGTTTCTCCAATGAGCAGCGCTGATCGAGGAAGGGGCTCGCTCCCCCCTGCGGGACTGAGCTCCAGACGCGGCTTTGTCACCAATCAGAGGCTAGAGGTCTGAAGCAGCGTCACCGGTCGGTATCCGCTAACTCGGTTTAAAGCAGCTCGTCTCCGGTCTCTGACACATCTTTCTCCTTATTAGAGAATCTTAAACCATGGCAAGAACCAAGCAGACCGCTCGTAAGTCCACAGGAGGCAAAGCCCCCAGGAAGCAGCTGGCCACCAAGGCTGCCCGTAAGAGCGCCCCGGCCACCGGCGGCGTCAAGAAGCCCCATCGTTACAGGCCCGGTACCGTGGCTCTCAGAGAGATCCGTCGTTACCAGAAATCCACCGAGCTGCTCATCCGCAAGCTGCCCTTCCAGCGTCTGGTCCGTGAGATCGCTCAGGACTTCAAGACCGACCTGCGCTTCCAGAGCTCCGCTGTCATGGCTCTGCAGGAGGCCAGCGAGGCTTACCTGGTCGGTCTCTTCGAGGACACCAACCTCTGCGCCATCCACGCCAAGAGGGTCACCATCATGCCCAAAGACATCCAGCTGGCCAGAAGGATCCGCGGAGAGAGAGCTTAATCTGTCTACTGCTCCAAAACAACCACAACGGCTCTTTTAAGAGCCACCACTTTTACTCAAGACATATTCCTGTACTGTCTCTACTTAAAGTGATGTCTTATTATTTCATTTTTAGTCCCATGTTGTCAACGAATTGGTTCATACAATACTGAACACAGTAAAATTACAACTCGAAAGAAAATCATAGAAACCATGGAGCACACCCATATTACAAAGTCATTACCATAATACACACTACATGTATATTGTTTAATTTATTCCCATTTCTAATTGAATTTGAGGAGTTATTCAAATTAATCACCAGAGTTTGTCAGTAGATAACAGTACACATGTATATTTAATATGTATTATCTCATAAAGAGACATTGTCAATATTTAATCTCTTGTTTCTTGAGAGTGCAGATTTCTAGAATCATCGTTCAGCTAAAAGAACTTCAGTAAATCACCAGCACACACTATGAACTCAGGAATCACTTCATATAGACTTTAAATAAATAAAATAATTGAATAATTGAGTCCCATAAAAACATTGAAGTTGACACCATTACTTCTACAGGCCTTTAAGTTTGGATCACAAACGGGTTCACTGACGACCACTTGGAATAAATATAACAGTGATTCATAAAGATGGTTAAGATGCTACAGGATGCTCCTCATACAGATCCATATCATTTTACTGATGATAAAATACTAACTTTAGTTATAGCCTGTAGATTAAAGGATACTGTACCTGATATTATAAACAATGATGAATGCA